TAGATTTGGATGCATATTCCTAGAGGTTCTTTATTAAATATAACTAAAATTCTCCCAAAGAAAAACATTCTTTCTCCTAAAATAATCCCTCCTTTCAATTTTTGCCAAAAATGTTTACTAATCCACCAGTCTTCACATTTTCTTCTAAAAATAATTTCATCATTTTCTATTTACCCTCATTCTGTCTTCAAAGTTCAATCTCTTAAGTTTGACTCATTTTAATATTATTAGCCTGATTCTTCCAAATATGGAATTTCTCTGGAAATCACTGTAGGTTTGGTACTCACTGACATCAAAAGAACAGCTTTCTTTTAAAACTGGTTTTTTAAGTTACATTCATTCTTTTTGTCCAAATTTCCAAAAACAAAAATTAAAAGTCTGAAGAAATAAGAATATTCAGAAAAGCTTGTTGTCATTGTTAGGTGCCGTCGACTCAAGAACACCCCTTAGTGACCCTCTGAACAGCAAGCAGATCTGAACTCTGTACTATCCTCTGCCATCTTCACACTTCCTCACACACTAGGGCATACTGCATCAGTTACTGTGTCAAACCACCTTGTCCAGGGGTCTTCCTAGACTCTCTCTTTCATTGACCCTCCAGTCTTCCAAACATCATGTCCCTCTCCAAGGCAAAACACCAAATTTCAACCTCGATTTGCAATATTGAAAAGTACTATGGGCAATATATTGAATGACTCAGAAAGCATCAGAGGAAGATGAGGGAATACAGAGAGCTACTGTATCAGAAAGCATTAACTGACACTGAAAAATTTCAGGAAGTACCATAAGATCAGAAGCCAATGGTAATGAAGGAGGAAATCTGAACCTGCTTTAAAGACACTGGCAAAAATTAAAGTTCCAGGAATCAATGGGATACCAATTTACTTGCTTCAAATAACAGATGCAGCTTTGGATGTGCTTACCAGTTTATGACAGGATATTTGGAAGATAGGTGTCTGGCCAATCAATTGGAAGATGTTCATATTTGTTCCTATTCCCAAGAAAGGTGATACAAGAGAGTGTGGAAACTATCAAACAATATCATTAACACCACATGCAAGCAAAATATTGCTGAAGATAATTAAAAAACAGCTAGAACATACAGGGAGCTTCCAGAAGTTTAAGCAGGATTTAGAAGAGCCTGTGCCACCAGGGTCGCTATAAGTCACCTATGACTCGACGGCACTTAACAACAATAACAACAACATGGCACCAGGGTTATCACTGCTGATGCCAGATGGATCCCGGTTGAAAGTAAATAATTCCAGAAGAATTTCTATTTGTGTCTTATTGACTATGCAAAGGCATTTGACTGTGTGGATAATAACAAGTTGTGACTGATGGTGAGCAGAATGGGAGCCTCAGAGCACTTACTTGTGCTCATGTGAAACCTATACCTGGACTGAGAGGCTGTTGTGTAAACAGCACAGGGAAATACCACATGGTTTAAAATTAATAAGGGAGGGTGTCAGGGTTGTTTTCTCTCTCAATTTTGTAATGCTATGTTCCTATTAAAATGTAGCAATTTGAAAAAAAA